CAGTAGCTACTACTAGCTACCACTGCTACTACTACTACTACTACTACTACTACTACTACTACTACTACTACTACTGCTACTGCTACTGCTACTGCTACTGCTACTGCTACTGCTACTGCTACTGCTACTGCTACTGCTACTGCTACTGCTACTGCTACTGCTGCTGCTGCTGCTGCTGCTGCTGCTGCTGCTACTGCTACTGCTACTGCTACTGCTACTGCTACTGCTACCGCTAATGTTACTGCTATACTGCTACTGCGAGTGCTACAACTACTGCTACTACTACTGCTGCTGCTACTACTATACTGCTGCTGCTGCTGCTGCTACTGCTGCTACTGCTGCTACTGCTGCTACTGCCACTGCTACTGCTGCTGTTGTTGCTACTACTACTAATACTACTACTACTACTACTACTACTACTACTACTACTACTACTACTAATACTACTACTACTACTACTACTACTACTACTACTACTACTACTACTACTACTACTACTACTACTACTACTAGCTACTACTGCTACTACTACTACTACTACTACTACTACTACTACTACTACTACTACTACTACTACTACTACTACTACTACTATAAAAATCAACAATAGTCCTTCGTTTTTCAAACATTCGCATTCTTTGCATAATATCATAATATGGTAAGATATTTCGGGGCTGTGTCGCGGAGGGCTCAAAGGGTGATATTAAAATGGGCGAAAATACACAAGGTAATCCAATTTGGGAAGAAAGTGCCGCGGTTAACATTAAATAATTCTCGCTGGCCGAAACCGTGTAGAACCGCTGGAGCTAAACCATGTCTCTTCGTCAACGCACCTGAGTCTAACGAGTTGCACGCTGTCAGCAATATACTCTGCTCGTGGCCCTAGGCGCTGCTCTGCGCGGCTCCTGCTTGTCTCTCGCATAATGAGACGCCATTGATGCGATGCATAAATCGCGCGGTGTCGCCCGACAACACTAACGTCGCGCATAATCGTGACATATTGTCACGCGCACAATGCACTCGCACGCCGCACTGCCGAGCGTGACACCGCCGCGAAGATTTATCTGGGACGATTACTGCGCGTTACTGCGATGGTGCGCGCGATCGTAGTTCTTGCAGATATTTTTAGTGGCCTCCACACTATATAACGTGCGCATAATATAGGGGAATACAACGTTATATGGCGTTGTATATTGTCCATCTATTTTCATTTCGCATCATAATACTAGAAGTAGATAATAGGGAATCTATCCCTATTATCTACTTCTGATAATACTAAACACACTATCATTCAGTGATACCCTACTATGCACATTGTCAGTGAGGCTCGTAGAAAGAGGTTATACGGCCAAGCTATAAATAAAATGGCAGCGCTTACGGTATGTGACACGACAATACCGTAAATACCGATTCTTGACTTTGTAACCGTACCACGGATCACACGGGCACTCTCAGCCACTCACGCGTAAGAATTCCTCGTAGTTAACCACTGGAAATTATAGAGGATGAGCAGTTCACGAGGAAAACCCGATTCTATTTCTTCTCTCTCTCTCTCTCTCTCTCTCTCTCTCTCGCGTTTTTCGTCTTCTTCGGATCCGCATACCGCGGGAGATACCTGTACGAACGTAAACATGCCAAGGCCTCGCAAACCAGTTTCGTGGAAATCCAGGGATTTTTTTGTGAACGGTGGTCTATTCGTGGCGCGTGTACCGTTACGGACAAACATAAGAGCGCGGGACCTCGTAAGAGAGAACCTTCATCGTTCCCTACATGCACGTGCATGTATGTCATATGTAGGATCCATATATGCAGGGATTTAGAATACAGTATTACGCATCAGATATTTCGCGTCACTCGAAGTAGTGCGCACGCTTCTGTTATGAACTTGCATTAAATAAAGAAAGTACCATATTATGCAGTGTGTATATAATTATATGCATCACGTGTAATAGCAGATTAATATATTATTTGTGATATGTGTGAAGCTATTATTTATTTCGATATAACCCGGCTTCACGACACGAATGCCTTGCGATCACACGTTCTGTCGGATTCAGCTGCACCTATTCTTGGTCACAATCTATCAACTAGGTCTGTATGACGAGGAAGCCGAGGATTGAGAGATAACATTGCGTGATCTCCTATCTATACACAATGGGGTTATTGCATAATAGGATATGCTTATTATAATATATTATGGATGCATGATATTACAATCACAATTATAAATACAACAAGTTTAAAAACATTCACAATTACAATTTAAACTTAACTACCGTTCAAATTAAAATAAAATAACCACGATGTCATCAGGCATAGTAAAAAAAGTGATGATATTTACAATCCCCGCTATTAAATAAAATTAGATAGCCTATAATAAAATGCTGCAAATATTCCTATTCATATAAGCATAAATAAAGAGACACAATATTATTTATCCCGCGTAGTTCTTTTACAATTGGCTGAGAATCTTGACATCAGGACAGGACTGTTAATGCACAAATTGGTATGAGGTAACATTGATAGCCGAAGTTGGGAGTTGGGAGTCGATATATGCACATTTCCTACACAACTACTCATGACGAAGCTCTAGTCTTGGGATATTAAGCTGGGTTAACACCCTATCATACCTGTCACACCTGTCCGATTTCGAAAATCAATTGGTATTTTTACAGCCTCTACTGCACAGATTAGATTTTACATGAGAGCCTCTTGATTAGGCAAAATTCGCGGGTTTAAATCTACACCAAAAAGCTGTACAAAATAATACACCAAGATTCACATTAAGTTTAAATCTTACTTTTAAGTAACCAATTTTCAAACTAGCAGCGGTGTTCTTACCGATGTGAGTGTAAATTTACACTCTAAAATGATGATTTCGGTGTATATGCCTTTTCCTCCAAAGGTGTAATTTATGTCACCACGAGTGTAAATTTATACTCTATATGTAAGGCTCTTCTCGTGGCCATGGAGTAGTAAATGTTATTTTCAAATATTTGTCAATAAGGAATTTCAAACTACATGCAAAAATATAGTACCGTCGTGTAATTCAACTAAGCCATCTCAATCGCAATCACAGCAGTTAGAAAAACACCAGCAGCAGAACAGATAGATTCATACTAAATATTTTATTTAAAACGAAAGAAAAGAAATGAGACTGCGTAACTAAAAAC